CGCTGCCGGCGCGGCGCGGTGCCTCGCTAATAATGTGACTGCCGCGGATTCGCGTCGGACCGATCGATCGATCGATCGATCGATCGATCGATCGATCGACGATGCGTGAGGACGCGCTGTGTGACACGACGATGCGTCCGACGACGCTCAACGTCGGCGGGAAGTGTCGAGGGATTAACGATCGTCACGCCGCGTCGTACTGGCCGCGCCGCTCTCCCGCCGAGAGATGGTTACACGCGCGCGTTTTCCGGAGTTTCCACAATTACGAGCAACGGCGAGTAGGAAGATAGTTAAATAAGAGGATCTTCCCGAGTAACGGCAGATAACCAAAGCACAAAGTTTGCGAGCTTCGCGGAGTTACTAGCAGCGGACGCGAAGTCGTCCGTCACTCGGAACTTCCTCCCGCTAATGGCCCCGCGTGCGAGGGGGTGGTGTCACGGGGAAGGGGAGGGGAGGGGGTTTGGTCTCGCGTACTTATGAAATGACATCGTAACGCTTAGCGTCGAGCGGAGCTCGTTAATCGAGCAAGAAGCGTCTAATTATTCCATTTGCGCGGAACAGTGCGCGGCCGCAAGAACGAACGGGGCGCGCTGTCGGCGTCTTCGTCTTGCGCGATTCGTTTTGCATTGTTTGGAGCAATTGCATTGTTTAGAGCAATTGCTCGGCATTGTTGGGCCGCTCGTCCGACCGGCGCGATTTGTTTCTCTAATTAATTTGGATGTGTACGGTGCCGCGCGTGTAGGACGGTAGTCGCGCACGCGAGGCACGTAGCCGCGGGACTTTTGCAATATATACCGTTACCGTCGCACCATCGCACCGTAGAGCGCGAGAAGCGAGCGGAAAAACACGCTCGCTCGCTTGCGAATCGATAGACTGAAATATCCCCGACGTGTCGAACGGAGTGCGGCGGCAAATCTCTCGGAGACGGAATTGCCATGTTTGAAGATGTGAAAGACGTCAAAGACGAGAACGAAGATCTCGCTTGCTCGGATTTTTCCGTAGAAATCCATTCGACGACGATCTAAGGTTCATCCCGGCACAATGTGTTAATTGTTGAGCAATCCGTCCTCCGAAGATAAATAAGACTGGAAGTAAAACCGTGTGTCGTCTCAATGTTGTTTCTTCAATGAATCGAAAGTATCGACGCCCGACGCGCAATCGAGGAGATTTCGGCTGCACGCTAAAGATACGATGATTTCATTAATCGCTCACGCGTTAATTGCGCGTTAACGAATTGATTTTTCTCACTTCGCTGCATCTTTAATTAAAATTCCAGCACGTAACGTGCACGCGCATGCATGCGCGTCGTTTCGATCGAAAGATTACGGAGTACGCGTTTACCTTAATTAAGCACTTACCGTTCGCCGTTCGGCGCAGCTGCTTCTTCGCCTGCTCGGAGGGATGATCGGGCCACGGAATCGGAAGTTTACCGAGGCGTGCGCAATTTCGCCGGGAAAATGAATTACACGCGACACGTGGACGCGTCTCGTTTGAATCTTCCATCGTTTATTTCTATTCACAGTCAATAAATTAACACTTATCGCTGGAAACCATACGAGAACCGAGAGACGATAAGAATTATGTGTGTTGATTCGTGTGTGTGTGTGTGTGTGTGTGTGTGTGTGTGTGTGTGTGTGTGAACGTGTATGTGTGTGTATGGAGAGGGGGGGAGGGGGCTGTGTATGTCGATGATCATCTATAAACCCCGCAATTAACTAATAAATACAAAATCAGCTTATAAAAAGGTTCGGCGACGCGCGCTAATCGCGCCCGCGATCGCCGTGCTCTCTTCTAGAATCTGCATTGTCGCTTCGTTTTATTCCTTTCCTCTTTTTCCCTCGTTACTTTATGTACATTATATATCCTGTCGTTTGTTAACCACGCGAGAAAAATGGACTAGACCGCTACGTAAACGCTGGATTTCCTTCGCTAGCGACTCGGCGACCCATGTGAGCGCTGCCGCGCTTCCACGGGCTCCCTCGATCGACTCGAGTCAATTTATTTACCGATCGCTTCGCCGCCGTCTCGAAAAGCGCGCAAGAGCTCTCTGACGACGGCAATAGGCCTTCTTCCTCCGACAAACGACTCGGCTCCTATTTCTCCTCCTCTTCCTCCTTTTCCTTTTCCTCCTGCTCTCTCACTCTCTCCTCTCTCCTCTCTCTCTCTCTCTCTCTCTCTCTCTCTCTCTCTCTCTCTCTCTCTCTCTCTCTCTCTTCGCTCTCTCGAAAGGTTCGCTTAAATTATCTATTGCGATTACTGCGCCTTGGGTCTACGATTAGAATGAATTTACTTTACACCGAATGCTGCGTAATTTTTTCCCGAGCTAATAAAATCACTATCGTGTCTATATCCATACTCTCATAAACTCGTTCACTAATTTTTCAACATTGCGTCCTCACGCTCGCACTCTCTCTCTCTCTCTCTCTCTCTCTCTCTTTCTTTCTCTCACACGCATACGCACACACGCATACCCGAGCTTCAATCTCGACATCTCGCATTCTCCCCCACGCGCCGTGTCGCCCTTTCTCTTTCGTAATAATCGCTTCATTCGTCCACTACAAGTATTAATTATTCTCGATGGAACGGATAAAGTAGCAGACGTCATCGAGATCGACGTAATCATTTAGCGCGTACGTCTTCTCCCGGCATCCTTCTCAGGATCGTCGCGAATCGTCGTCGATCAGAAGAGAAACAAAAGTAAAGAAAAAGAGAAAAGAAAAAGCGGTCCACTGTGGCGTGTGGGACCGTATGCGTGGGGCGGCACGCGACTCGACGAATTTCTCGCTGTCTCGAAGCTCGCGAGAAAGCTCTCGATCCCGGCGCGAAATCACGCAGCGCGGGTTTCCGCGTTCGAGCGTGTCGCGTTGATCGACCTCCACGTCGATGGAAGCAACTCGCGACTCTCGAACTTGTCTCGAACTAACCGTAGCCGACCTGCGGACCGATCGGCTCCTCGGCGTCCCTCTCCGTCTTCCTCCTCCGTGATGCGCGATTATAAGCGCGCGCGCTCGCGCGATCTTACCTTACGTAGATGACGACGTGGTGTAAAAGGTGTACATGTATGTATGGTACGCGTGATACGCTTGTCGCTTTCGATGGGCGATGACGTCGCGATGAACGCATCTCGGAGACGGCGAAAGTGCGTCTCCAGAGTCTCGGCGAGCTCCGTCGTCCGCGTTCCATCGTATCGCTCGTCTTTCTTTTATTCGCGTCAGCCGCAGGTCCGAAGGGACTTTGCCGGGCGAGATTGCGGACGATCGTAATCGGCACGTGACTTTAGCGTTTACCGTACCCGGTGATACGACACCGCGGAGAGTCTTGAATATTATTAACCGCTTCCGCGCGGCTACCCGCCGATTCGCTCTCGATTATTCGTTGGGCTGTTCGCACGCTCCTCCACGTGTCTCTTATAATTAACCATAACAACGCACCTCGCTTCGCGTTGGGAATTGTCTCTCGTAACAATGAAAACTTATCATCTACGGTTTATTATTATCCATCGGGCTCTCTCCTCGACTTTGCCCATGTCTGTTCCCGCAACCCTTTTCCTTCCCGATTGCGCCCCCGCGTCTCGTAAATTCACCTACGTAAATTTACACTATACAAGAGATGTACATAAGATCCAACGGTACCTTTTATATATACATATACATACATACATACATACATACATACATATATATATATATATATATATATATATATATACACACACACGTACATACATACATACATACATACATACATCATACATACATACATACATATATATATATATATCGTGCATATGTATAATCTAATCTTAAGTTTTGGCAAACGGGCAAGATCAATACAAAACATCTTTAAGTCCTACGCGTATAATTTCTATATACATACAAAATCTCTATAACTTTCAACACGTTCCTCTTCCGCGCGGCGTGGTCAATATACACATGTACAGGTTTTACCATCGTGTCGAAAAGTTGACAAAGTCACATCCGACGATGGGGATTGTCGATCGTAATAGTAGTAGTAGTAGTAGTAGTAGTAGTAGTAGTAGTAGTAGTAGTAGTAGTAGTAGTAGTAGTAGCAGTAGTAGTAGCAGTAGTAGTAGTAGTAATAGTAGTAGTAGTAGTAAAAGCAAAGTACGAGTGACGATGTGTGACGTTCCTTAATTTCCGTTTCCCTCTTTTCCTCTCCTCTTTAATCGGCTGCGGGGAGTTTCTCTCCCCGCAGGGATTACGCGCCTCCTCTCGCTGTTAACCACGTAGGAAATTATGCGAACGGCGGAAAAAGTAAGGAAAAAGGCGGCGATACTCTGCTCCCGGTCGATTCTCGTCGGCGTTCTCGTGTGGACTGCATGGATCGGAATCGCGTAAATAAGCTAAGTAAGTAAAAAACGCTCGTAAGGCATCCTGTGATCCGAATGTAATCCGTCTGTATCACCGGATATAAGGTGGATTTTCGCGTATTCGCGCTACTAAGCGGAAAATCGTGCCGGGTGTCGTCGTGAGAGACAATTCATGACTGTCCCCGGCGATTCGTTCGCGCACGTTCCTCTGGCGATAAGATCGATCGAACGTGCAAAGAGTTTAAAGATACACGGGATATACAAGGATCGCCGTCCCCCCACACGCGAGAGAGACGGACGAGGACTCGATAGCGTTGGCAGTTTTTGACGAGCCGCTATCGCTCGTCGGAACGGACTATACACGATACTTCGCAGTGATTGATTAATGGCGGGGGGTCGTCGCGCTGACAAAGATGAAACCGACAGACAGATTAAATCGAACGCGAAATCAAAACTAACAGGCGCGCGTCTTCAATTATCTGTGTTCTTCCTTCTTCGTCTGCTCATTGATTTTTTCCTTTTTAATCTCGCGACAGGTATCGCGAGACAGATAAAATGCGCGAATCGTCGCGCGTCGCGTCGCGTCGCGTTCTTTTCTTCTTTCTTTCTTTCTACCTATTCGTTTTAATCGATCGTATATTGCTACCATATCACATACAGTATTCGCTTATTATTAATTACACGACTACGTAGGCGCGCGCGATGAGATCTCGCCGTTTCGAGTCGCTCGAGAGCGATCGGCCAAGTGTCGTAACATCGCGAGGATGATCGGCAGTGACGTGATTTTGCTGTCCGACCTCACTCCAAACTCGTCGAATGCGTCTCTCTCGTTGCGAGCCGAACACGAGTAAACGCGAAGAAGAAACTTCGCCTCGCTCTCCTCTGACCGTCTGTCTCCGTCTTTCTTTCCCCGGGGAGCCCTCGTTACAACTGTTGGAATTTCGCTCGTTTCGCGCGATTCTTGCCTCAGTTCTTCCCGCCGCCGCGTCCAAATATGCGAGATGCGGAATAACAAAATGTTCCCCCGACATTAATATCGGGCCGCGTCGAGAGATATTAGAATTTCCGTTCGCGTCGTTGCGAGCGCGCGTGCGCCGCCGCGCCGTCTTTCTCTCGCGCTCGTGACGAGAATGATCAAACGAAGCGAAATCCTCGGCACCCCTTCGACAACAATAACGGGAAATGAGATATTGCTTCTGCGCGCTCTGCTCGCGCCGAGCTGAAATGTGACGTTCGCGCGCGCGCGATACGAGCGGAGAATTATCGATAATTACCGACTACGTTTTCGCGATGGAAGAAACCGCCGCTGCACACCCGCCGGCGCCGTTCGACAGTCACGCCGCTGGGTCTTGAAAAATCCGCGCCATGAAATTCCCCAGGACAGGACAAAACGCGAGACCGCGTGTAGCAATCAGGCTCGAAGCAAGGTTGCTCCGTTGGCCGCTCCCGCGTTAATTACACACACTCGACTCCCTTACCTCCGTCCGCCTCGATCTCGTGCTCAGAATCGCGGCTGCCGCGACTCGTCGAATCGGCGGTCTGCCGCGGTCCCTCTCATTGGTAGCCCCCGTCGTTGGCCTGGCTGCCGCCCTTGCTGCCGCCTTGGGAGGTCGGCGACGCTCTGGTGAAGCTGCCGAAAGTCTTGGTAGGTGAGTCGGACGCGGTGCTGGCGGAGGCGAGCACCTTGTCGCGCGGCGGCGGCGCCGAGCTGATGCTGGACGAGCTGACGCCGGAGTCGCTGGATTTCTCGCTGAGGCAGCCCCGTTGGCTGAGGCCGGTGACGTTGCCGGTGGCCTCGAGACCCAGGTCACTGCTACCGCCCACCACGTACTTGACCATGCCGCCGAGTTTTTGGCCGCTCTCGCAAGCGTCCTCGATCACCACCGTCTCGCCGAAGTTGCCTCTCTTGGCGATGAAGCGCACGTTGCCGCTGCGCAGCAACGGCGACTTCTCGAATTGGCCCCCCTCCTTCTGGCTCGCGCTCGCGCCGCTGGTGATCGGTATGTTCGGATGGAAGTCGTCCTTGGCGTCCGCGAGGCCGGTCTCAGCGGCGGCTGCGCCGCCGGCGGCGTTCTTCGCGGCCGCCGACGTCGCGCCGTCCAGATTGTTCTCCCTCGACAGCTTCGTCGACGTGGTCGTTGATTCCGGGCTGATGGCCCGCCGACTGGTCGTATTCTTGTGCGCGTCGTAGCAGCCCGAGTCCCGCGGGAACTGGCGACGGTTAAAGGGAGAACAGTGGCCGGACGTCTGGCCAGAGGTTAATACCAGACGGCTGACCTCGTCGCCCTCTGAACTCGAGGCTAGGTCACCCTCGCTGCCCGCTGTAAGGACAGAAGGAAAAAGGACGCGTGTGTGTGCGTGCGTGCGTGAGAGATCCCGCTTGTGGCCGCTTCTCATCGTATAATACATAAATAATCTCTGATCAGCGCTGATCGCGCATACTTGCGCACACGTCGTAATGAGCGATGGGAGAATTTTGTGCTTTGCTTTAATTAATGTCGAAGTGAAATTGCTCGATATGATAAAAGCGCGCGTACCCTGGTCGGTAACAAACAACAATTAGCAGTGCTCACAAGGAACTTTTCCACGACGGCGCACGTGTTGTGTACGTCGGTATTTTGCGCGCACGTGCATTATTATTATTATATAATTGCATCGCATTATCTGCACGCGACGCTTTTCTCCACGGGGGGGAGGGGAGGGGGGAAGAAAAAAAGAACACGCCATAAATTTTTATCCCCCGGCGGGCGAGTAAAAACGGCTGCGCGCCGTCTAAAAATGAAGTTTCGCAACTTCTTATTTCTATTTCCGCGGCTCTCAAGGACGGCTCCGGCTGCGCCTCGGAGAGATTATTACGCTCTTAATTGTTCTTCGCGCCATAACGGAGGGAAGTGGGCTATTTACTTTCGTTCCGTTTCGGAGGGAAATTGCGGCGTACTTTTCCGAAGATACGCGGCCCCGCTCCGTGTGCTAATTGTAATAACCCGACACACGCGGCGAGACGAATAGCGACGACGATGAAAAGGGCGCTTGTGTGAAACGCGAATAATACATACATATGTAGCCGGTATATGCTCGGCATATACTCACACTGTAGATCGTGCAGTAGCTGCACGGCGGTGAGTATCTTGGCACGATGCTCGGGTTGATGTATACGCAAATAGTCCAGATCCGCCGCCTCTAACTCCCTGAAGAGCTCCAGATCCTCGTATCCGTTCAGCACAAAAACTGGAATATGTTCCTGCGCGAGCGTAACATTCATCTTTGAGATACTACTTCTGCCTTAACGGGGCCTTGAATAGTCCGCCGCTCGTGCGGATTTTCGTTAGCAGCGTCCGCCGCGCTTCGATCGGCAAACGTTAAATGCAAAAGCGCGCACCGAAAATGACGTAATTTTCCACCGTGGAAAACAAATTTTCAGCAGCATGCGGGCGGAATTTTGTTTTCGCTGTTGGATGCTTTTTTTTTCCACATTGTATATTATCCAAGTTAACAACTAGCGCGAGTTTACCGGCTAAAAAGTTCGGGACCGAGCGATTTAAGTGGATTCGTTACAACCAACGTTTAATACTTCATTGTAAATATTGTTTCATAAAATATACACCTGTGTGCGAGACACACGACGACAAACAAAATCAATCTGGCTTGTCGGAGACCTTTAATCCGCGCGTCGGCAACATTTTCCCCTGTTTTTTTTTCTTTTTTTTCTTTTTTTTTTTTTTATCGCGAAATGCGCAACTCGGCATGATGAAAGCGTGCTCAAATGTTTGCTCGGCGGGAAATCTCGGTAGGCTTGATTTTTTCAACGCGACAATCACGACGCGAGTTAATTTGAAGGACCTAAAATGCCGTGATTCGTTTTTTTTTTTTTTCTTTCACATGGTCAGCGCGATGGAACACTTGATGATGATCTCGCAAAGACCGTGCGCTGTCGTGTGAAACTTGAGCGGAGATCCCGCGAGTGATTAACCGGCGGAGAGAGAGATACTTTGAGTCCTCGATCGTCCGATATGTAAGTCGCGCGGAGAGTCGTTCCGGGCCTCAATTAAGTGTACAGCGGAACGTCGAAAAGGCGCGTACCGACGCGCGAATCTACGGCGCTCATTAAACGATCGATCATAGTGGCTTAATTAAGTGGCACGGCTTTTCGAATCGGAACCGACGTTTCCGGGACAGCGGCTCCTCCTCCTCCTCCTCCTCTCTCCCCATCATTTCGCCCCGTCTCCTCGCTCGATACTGCGCGGGCGAGACGCGCCTCTTGAACGTTCGACAATGAATCACGATCGAGCCTAATCTCTTGCCGAATCGCAATACTATACGGGACGTCCCACAATTACGTCGACAATTACGGGATACGCTTTCAACCGTGTGGATCCCACCGCGCATTGGTTTCTCTTTTCCTTTTCGCGGGCGAAAAGGAATCGAAGGCGATGAAAATCACAAACCTTTTTCATTCAGCATTCGACACAAAATGCAGTGAATTTGTGAGCGGTGAGCAAAATTTTCGTATCACGACGAGTGAAATAAAAATTCACCGAAAGATAACATCATTCATGTCCTGGAGAAACTTAATTAATCTCCTAAATACTTGATATCTCGGTTGTTAATAGCCTCAGTTACAAACCTTATTATTTTAATCTTTAAAATCCATGTTCAATGACCTCTCGGTGTAAATCTAATGTCGACGGTAAATCGGGAGGGGAGAATGGGAAGGGGAACGATCGGGGGAGAGAGAGAGAGAGAGAGAAAGAGAGGGGGGGAGAGAGAGAGAGAGAGAGCAAAGGAAGGAGCAGGGAATATATAGGTGCAGGTGAGGATAAAAATGAGCAAGGCGGAGGCAAGGAGCGATAAACGGAGGGAGAGAAAGAGACGAATAGGAAGGGGGAGGGGAGGGGGCGATCGAACAAAAAGGACTCGTCATGGTCTGCGGAACCTGCGAGTTGTATAAGGTATAAGTTGGAAAGCCGATGCGAGAATGGTCGTAGGGAGCGAGGGGGTGGAGGGTGTGAGGAGTGGAAGGGCGCAGTGGAGGGGAGGGAGGGGGGGGCGGGCGAAGGGATAAAGAGAGACGGTGGAAGGCGGCGCGACAGGGACACCGAATAAAGAAACGTATAAAAGCAGGTTCTCTACTTTGCATTCGACGCCATGCAAATGCGAATCAGTTTGTTCGAGCCGCGGCGAGATATTGCTCTCTACCTGAAGATTCATTCTCTGCAAGAGCTCTTGAACGGAACCCGGCTTCTGCCTGTATCTCTGACCCCACTTGCCCCGCTCCGGCTCTCCCCGCCTGGGCACCCTGTCGTTCAGTATCTCGACGTTTATGAACTTGAAGTGGCCTATCCTGTTGTGCACGACGCCCTTCCATAGGCCGCTCTTGTTCATCTGCACCACATCGATTACTTCCCCTTTCTGGAAACAGCGTTGCGCGACCGCGCGCGCGCGATCATTCGCGCGGGAAGACCTCGTGTGCTTGTCGCGCGGCCTGCGCGCGTCGTTAAATCGCCGCGATCGCCGATCGTTATCGAGATCCCTCCAATGAATAGAAAAATAAACAGACACAAAGAGCAAGAGAAGAAAGAAACGACCCGTGGAACACGCGAGAGCGAGAGAGAAACGAGATATCGTGGATTTCGACTTGAGAATTTCGATCTGAGTCGTTGATTAAGAATTCCGACAGTGAATAACCGAGCGCACACGCACGCGCGCACGCACACCGTTCCACGAAATCCGGCCGTATACACAATTTACACCCGTGATAAATCGCCACGTGGGCGCCGCCCACCGCCTACGTCGTCGTTTGACGCGCGGGGGATCTCGTTGCCGCGAAATTTCGCTCGTAAATCAATTATCGTGGAGAGACGTGAGGGGGTAGGGCAGGCGAACCTTGAACTTTAACGCGTCCTTGTCGTACGGACTGGGGGTATAGTCCACCAGCGCCCTCGCCCTGCAGAGGACAGGGCCGATGGACGTCGGGCTGATGGCGTCCCGGTCCTCGCAGGATATCGAGCTATGATTGCTTCCTGCGCGGACCAATGCCTGCGTGCTGGAGCCGCTTCCGCTCGGTAGGCTCTCGACGCTGCTCGCGCTGCACGGGAAGGCCTCCGAGGACGCGCGATCCTGGCGCAGCCTCGAGATCTTTCGTTGCACGTCGTGCCTCAAATTCCTCGCTCGACCGGCGATTCCCGCTCTGGCGTCGCCTTCCAGCAGCGCGCTGGCCTCTGACTGGAAATTTTAATTGAGTTTTGGAGAACATCGGTGGGAGGAAGGGGAGGGGGGAGCTGGCGGCAGCGGCGCGCACCGTGCCGGGAATACGTGCTCTCCCCGTCGAATGCACCGGCGGGTGAGAAAAGAGCGAGCGACTCTCGCGCGCCGGGGATCGCGTTAATTAAATCGAGGAGCTATATGAAATAAGGATCTCTCCTTCGTTGACCGAGTCATTTTCAATAATGCATTTATGACGTCCTGGAATGTCGTACGGTGGACGGAGCGATCCACGTGACGCGAAGAGTGCCCAGCTCTCGCTAAGAGAAGCGCTACACGTCCTTCTCGTGGTCGGTCTTGCAAAGTTTGATTATTAACGTTCAAATACAACATGGCCGCTCGGACGAATGATGGTGAGATCGAGCGCGGCTGGTTCGTGTGCATATCTCTCTCTCTCTCTCTATATATATATATATATTCCTCTATTTCTACTTTTCGCGGAATGTATTTGCAAGAAAACAGAATTTAAATATTTTTTCACACAACTCTTCAAGCTCCCGGAAGAATTAAAAGACGACGACAGCGAGTGTCAACGTTGAATTGATCCTCACGCGAATGGCATCTCCGTTTCTGATTTCCGATGCATGCAATCGTCGGTGGAGTGAGGCACTTTGATAGAGACGCATGATTCCCCCCCCCCTCTCTCTCTCTCTCTCTCTCTCTCTCGTCCCCGAGTTTGCGCGAATAGAGACCAACGTGTTGCGACCGTGTAATTTCGTAAGCGTGTTTGGAGGCAAGATGTCTTTCGCCTCCCATGTTAGCTCATATATTTTTCGCGACGCTGAAACACCACGCATGCACGCGCGCGCACACGCACACGCACACGCTGCGTTTAACGGAACGAAACGGACAAATGGTGCGAGAAGGAGCGTTAAACCGATACGCGCTCGGGATTAGAATCAGAGTCGAGCTCGGCAATTTCGCGCGCATCGATTGCCCTCCGATCCGTTATATGGAGAGCCGCGCGACTCTCCATATAACATTCATACGTTCCACTTGCATACGTGATAGCGGCCGGCCGATGTTACATTCGCGTTACGCTCAGCGAACGATGCAACGGCGCGTTAGTTCGGTAACGAACACGTTCATCAAGACTTACGATCAAAGTTCATAGATGCGACGAAAAATTGACAGCGTAACCGTGCGGATCCGATTGATTTATCGCGCGGATCGACGTTATACCGCGATCACGAACTGAACTGTGCTCGGTGTTCTGCAGGACAGCGACGGGAGAAAGAGGGAATACTCTCGGAAAGTCTCGACTAATTTGATAAATAAGCGGCAAATATTCCGCGATACCGCTTAACGCGCAAAGTTTACACTCGGGACTTACCTTGGCGCGACGAAGCGTGCAGGGACGAGAGGAAGAGGGAGAACGAGATCTCTCGCGGTATTTCCATCAATCGCGCGCGCACGGCTGCATTTTTCTCGGTTATCACATTGTTTGCTCGCGCCCTTCGCGTAATAATGATCGAGAGATCGCCGCCGTGCGTGCGAGTGCATGCGCGCGGAAACGACCGAGAGAGGAACGCAGCGGCGACAGGTAAAATAGAAACGGAACGTCCTCCCGACGGAGCAACGTTCTCGTGTGTCACGTACTGTGTGCACGGCGGCCGAGTGTTGATTCTCGAGTTCTTCTTGATCCTCGTAGTCGCTGCTCTGGCTCGGCGACAGTCCCTCCTCGCCGCTACTCCGGCTCTAAAACGTTGATACTCGCAGAGACGATTCTGGTGGCGCGGTAAAGGGAGAAGCGGACACTGTGATGGGTCTAAGTAAGCGCGCGCGGATGCTTTTAGATGATGAGAGTGACGGTTACGGGGGGAGGTATTGCCAGGCAATACCCCGAATATATATATATATATATATATATATATATATATATATATATATGCGACTCTGTGTCACCGATGGTAAAGACAGCGGGTGGGAGGCACAGAAATATGACGACACAGTACCCAATCTCCAAGATATTACACCGTACGTGTAAACGCGCGAGGGCTACCGCGGTGGTGATTCCTCGGGATTTCTAACGATCTCACGATCACACGCGAGTAGACGCGCGCATCCCCTGGAAACATGTAAGATCTTATATTCCTTTTTGTTGCCTGAAATTGTGTCCCGCGATAACCATTTTATCGAATATTCCCGTAATCCCGTATTCAGAATTCACACACGCTCGTCACTTGTCACCCGTTGCTTTCAGCGCGCCGCGCTCTCGTACGTTCACACCATGATGGAAAAATCGAATGAATTATGACGTATTTACTACTTTGCTCTTTTCTGTTCACTCTGTGATATATCAAAAGTTTCCCTTTACAAGATACCCATTTTGATCGTTGATTGTGGGCTCGTCGGAATATCGTTTGCGACGCAGCGCGCCCGAGGAATTTTCTCGGGATAACCCTCGCGCGGTAAGAAGCCCAAAAGTAGCAGCAGCAAATGTTGTACGCGACTCGGGGGGTTAAATGTACAGGTGTTACACCACGTTAGCCACGTTACACTCGATACATACACATGTATATGTATATTAGTAGAAAAAGGGGGGGAGTTGCGTGTTACATGAGAAATAAATAGCGTATGCAGGCTACGCCGCGCCGGTCTAGATGAGTTAGTGATATACTTAATATTGGCGTGTCAGTGTGTGAGTATATTATATTTATACATATAGAGGCTGTCAGTGCTGTGTGGGCGTCAGAGCAGGAAATGAGGCACCTTATTCTGGCGCTATGATCAGATTATGAGGTTCTCTCGGCTTTTCGCTCGAACGTCAAGCCCGATTATTATAATGCCGTACGCTCCACGCTATCACGATTGAACTGCGCGGTTGAAAGATAAAACGACCACGCATTAAAGCGCGCGAAACGAGGCCGTGCCGCCGTGCGAATTCCTCAAGTATCGATCGATCTCTTTCCCAACACCTCCGCGAAACTTTCTCTCCGCTACTTTCCTCACGATGATTTCCAGAATTGTGCAAAGCACGGCCGGTTAGCACGCGAGATCCCGCGCACGGTATTTTTGGAAAATCTCAACCATCGTCCCCGTCTACGTGCCCGGCCTCGTGCGCGCCTCGTGTAACTTTCGACATCCAGAGACAGAGACGCGAAACGTTTCGCGCGACGTTTACAGCCACCGACGAGACTCGGAGACTCGAAGACTTGGGCGGCGCGTCCGATCGTCGGAGATCACGGCACAACGGCTCGGTCGTTATTAAGTCGGCGGAGAATAACTCCGGTTTGCTCGGTGAAAACGAAGAGGAGGCGCGACCGACTGGCGTAAATCCGTCGCGATCTCGTCGCGCGTCCGCGATTTTCTCGCGAACAATCCGCAAATCGTGGGATCCTATTGTCCGGCCGACGGATGGGGGATCGAGAGTGGCTCTCGCGCCTCGATTCACTATGCTCAACACACCGGAAACGGATCGAGGAGAACGGCCGTTTTTCTCTCTCCCTCAAACGCGTCAGCCGCAGCCAGCAGATTCGCGCAAGTCCGGCAAACGCGTTACCGCAACGCGGCTCCTCCATGAGAAAGAGAGAGCCTCGGAAGTCGCGCGCGCGCGCGCGTTCTCTTCCGTAAGCGGGACGAAAAATGCATATTCACGAGTGCGCCGACAGCACAAAAACACACACACATACATACATACATACGTACACCCGGCGTAATACGAGCGCTCGCGTATGCATCTAATCTGCCGAGATCTGCCGTTTCCTGGTCCGAAGACGCCCGCGATGTTTGCACGACCGATATACATACGTAATGGACTGAGCGCGCGCGTCACGCGTGGAGAAGCGTACAAATGGGTTAGTAGTATGGAGATGGACTTGGCAGTGTTCTCTCAGCGACGGGGGTGGAAGGGAATGGAGATGACAAGATGAGAGGGGGGGGGACCTACGTAATCCATAGATTCGTATAGATACGAACATATCTGGGAACCGGGCGACGTTGCGCGTTGCTTTGCGGTGACGTTGCGTCGGCGGTGTTGGTGGTAACGGTCGTGCTAGTGGTGGCGGGGTGACGTTGATTGGGTCGGGGTGAGACCGAGTGGTGATGTTCGTGATGATGGTGGCGATGGTTGTGACGGTGCTCGTGATGGTGCTCCGACCGGTCGGCTGGATGGCGACCGCCCGCCACCGGAGGTGGCTGGTCGCTCCTACTCGTGTCCACCGACACAGTCGACAGTCTCGAGCTCACACTCTGCAGCCCCAAAATTAAATAAATCACGCCGTGACGTGCGCCCGCGAGAGAAGGTGGGCGTCGTTCCCCGGTGAACGAACGCCCATGGGAGCCAAGCGGCCCGAACGATGCCAGGTGGTGGTACTTCTCGCGCGAGGGAGATCAAACTTGCTCGGCGGAGGGCTGAGGGTCGAGGTGTAACCCGACAGAATTCTCCCTTTCTCCCACTCCCGCTCTCTTTCTCTCTCTCTCTCTCTCTCTCTCTCTCTCTCTCTTTCTGCCATTTTCTCCACGTGGTACTTATCGCAACGCAGTGACTAATGTAATTCCGCTGCGGAGTGACGGGCTGCGATCTAACGGGATTTATCTAGACTGGATTCGACGGCTTGATATTGCGCCTGAGAGCGCGATAATATTAGAGCGCCGCGCGGCGCTTAACGAGCTTCGTGACTCACTTACTCCGCGGGGGGGGGGGGGGAGGGGGGGGAGGTGTATACGGTAATTCGTTAATCTCGAGCGGCGGAACTCTCGCGCGAGACGGAACGGCACGTGACTGCGTTCCTCCGAGAGAGCGCGCGACCGAGGCTGAACCGCTCGAGGAATTGCGAAAGTACACTCGGCGAGATCTTCGTGAGCTCGATTATCATCAATCTCAATCGAGATCACCGATTATCGACGGTTGCACGAGAGCGAGACCTCCGCGCCGGCGAGCTCGCGAAGCCGCCGTCAAATACGTATAAACGTTCCGCCGCTCGCGTTTACGGCACCGGCTAATCTGTGAACTGCGCTCTCTCTCTCTCTCTCTCTCTCTCTCTCTCTCTCTCTCTCTCTCTCCCCCTATGAGAGACGATACAGCTGTCGACAACGTCAGGCAGCGCAATCCCGGCGAGACTTTCGCCCGAGAACGACAAAGTGCCGCGCATGATGGCTGTCCGGATCGTTGCTCGGCGACGCGATGGACTTACCTGCACGTCGCTACTCGCATAATCTCCGCTCTCACGAGAAGCCCTCGAGTGTGTCAGGGGTATAATCGTCGGTGGATTATTGTGACCCTGAGGAACGATGAGACCTCGCATCGTCGATGTTGCACCTTTCCTCGAACGGTCGCGCGGCAAGCTGATGTCGCCGGCTGTTCGAAGAGAGATCACACCCTCGCCCCGGTTCTCCGGCCTCAGGTTCAGCGTGAAGCATACCCTGCGGTTCGATCGCGTTTTCCCCTTTAATGCTGACGCGACGACTGATCCGACGCACGCGACTCTCTCTCTCTCTCTCTCTCTCTCAATTCTCGTTCGAGCCAGTCTCAAGCGCAATAATGAACACCCGCGTTCTCGATCTTGCAAATTCTCAGCAAGTCAGAGACAGAGAGATTCGTGCATCTAATTGCATCGAGAAACGCTCATCTTCGCGCTTGTACGACGGCAGTTAGGTCGAGAGAGAATTCGAGCTCGAGTCGAGTCGAGTCGAGTCGAGTCTAGTCTAGTGCGAAAGCGCGTGTTCTGAAATCGCGGAGACATTACCTTCCGTTTTGGATCGTGGCGGTCGGCATCGGGCCACCGCTAGCCCCCATGAGGAAGTCCTCGGGATCCGACTCGTAAGGTGGTTCGTCGTACCAGTGTTGACCGCCTGGTCCGGGGCCTAAACCACCAGCGCCTCCGCATCGCGCGTCTTCGTCGTACATGTACGTATCATCTGCGAAAATCAACGTTTCGTTCTGTCTCTCTTGCAACTTGCGGCTGTCGCGACGGTCGCGAAGGACGAATCTCGCACATGGGTGCGATTCTCGCGGAGCGAAAGCAGGGGAGAAACTGCCTTTTTTTGTCACGCCCCTTAACGTGATGATGCGCTAAAATCGACGAGTGTACATATCGACGACATTACGACGCGCGTCGAATTAAATCGCCCGTACGCGCGAGGCGGGCTTGAAGAATTCCGAGATCCGCTTTCGCTGTAGAAACGTCGTAGGAATTACGCGCAAGCGTGCGTATGTGCGCGCGCGTGCTCGTATGAAGGAAGATAGGAGTGGCAAAGAGGGTTTGGGAAACGAAGGTGGCGGGTACTAACAATAACAAGATTAGTTCGCGCATATACGAGGGGCTTCGCGACGCAGCCACGCCACAGCGGCCTTTGTGAATAGGAAATAAAAGCACCGCGCCGGTGATAAATCGACAATAAAGAGCACAGAAGCTCGCGGTAGGATGTTCCGTCGCACGCTGAAACGTGCGAAATCTCACACACACACACACACACACACACACACACACACACATTAGCCGCACTGCATTCATCACACCTCGTCTTCGATTATTGTCGTTGCGTAAATTCTTACGCTTTTATCTCTCCCCAGCTCCTTTTTAAAATACACATTTCTCTCTTCTCTCTATTGAAGCAGAATTGGCAGGAAAAATTCGTGCTTTGAGAACAAAATAGCCAATAGGATTTTCTTTACCGAAGCACGTAAAATTGCTCGATGACAAACTTATATCGCGAACTCGGAAGTGATAATAATGATAGGAAATGAGTAACGGATTACCGTTGCAGTGACATTTAACGCGTAATTAAAACGGAGAAGAAATATATTATAAAAAAAATACTATGAAAGATATTTATAATATATATTATAACGATACATTACAAAACGGAAAATAATATACATGTAAAAAGAATAAAAATACGGTCGATCTCTCGCGCGCGCGCCCGTTTTCTCGATGATTCAGTTTTCCTCACGCGACTTCTTTTATCGCGCAAACACTTGCATCGACATCACACCGTTCGGATTCCGGCTCTTTTGTCGCGCGCGCGCGCCCGTTCGGTGCGCGCTGCGGACAAAGCTTACAGCGAAAGCTTCTCTCTCTCTCTCTCTCTCTCTCTCTCTCTCTCTCTCTCTCTCTCTCTCTCTCTTCTCTCTCTCTCTCTCTCTCTCTCTCTCTCTCTCTCTCTCTCTCTCTCTCTCTCTCTCTCTCTTTTCCGTCGCAAGCGCCTTTTTTGCGAGAGACGTAGGTGTCATTCCGGCGCGCTTCCACTTTATCGCGGAAAGCTGCTGAGACTATGGGGAACGAGATTTCTTGAAAAAGACTACGAGGGGAGCCATCAGAAAACGAATGCTCAAAATGAGTCTCGCGAGAGTGAGCGGCTACGTACGAGGTGTCAGGCATTTGGGAGTCGATTCTCATACCGGCGCCGGCACGTGCGCGCGTTTTGTTCAACGTGCACGAACACGGGCGCGCGCGTCGTTTGCTACGTGCGCACGTACGCGCACCTACAAGTAAAGGCCGGCTGGGTCGCGAGAGCAGGGCGGGGGTTATAGGTCGTGGTGGAGACGAGGCGACAACTAGCTGGAGGTTAGTCCTTGATGTACTTACCCCCAGGGAGCTGACCCCGTCCGTCTCGTCCTAGCTGCATTAAACCTTGCCGGATATCCCTCAGTATCTGAAACAGCACAATGACGACGTCTTGGGTGAATGTTCGTCCGGCATCGCGATTAAAAGTGCTATTTTAGAGCGCTCTCCGCGACCCCGATATATCCTCGGATGTCGCGCGAGAGTCGCCGCAGAATCGTTGGCGTCGCTGTTGGAAGTGGACGTCCGGGAAGATTGATCGCGGGATACGGATGATTGTGTTTGCGTTGCTGCAGCGTCGAATCGTTCATTTCGGGGCGTAATAACGCCCCGTGTCGAGTCTATCTCGGCCGTCGAGTTTTGTTTCCCTCGCGAATTACCGCGCAACGGACGACAGAGAACGAGAGGGAGGAGCGAAGAGGAGGGCGATTTTCTCAAGTGAGATGCGGGCGGAAGGGAGTCTCCTGCGCGGCAACAAAAGTGCCACGAGTGTTTCGGCGGTGCGCGGCGTCGAATTTATCGCGCTATCTCGAAACGTGTAAAACCTATCTATGTGTATATGTATATATGTACAAGGTGCTGGAGCCTGGAGAGAGAGAGAGAGAGAGAGAGAGAGAGAGAGAGAGAGAGAGAGAGAGAGAGAGAGAGAGAGAGAGAGAGAGAGAGAGAGAGAGAGAGGGCCAATATCGTCGCGTTAGGCGAAGAAATCTCGCGATGAGTAAATTCGTCCAACCGTCCAGCGGAGACAAAACGCCAGCGATAGTTTGGCTGTTCGGGGGATGCGACTTTTGTGTGTAGTCGTGACGGGAAATTTATACAAAACACGAGGAGACCGCGCATCTTTAAATGTAAAACTTACATATCCCGGAGAGAGTTATATTAAATGGACGTACACGATATTACAAGACGATGCTTTGCATAATCGCCGCGCGAGCAAGAGGAGAACTTGTTACCCGAGAGCGCGACGCGCCTGCTCTGCACGCGAGCACTTGTACGGCTTAACCGCTCCCGCGTCTTCTGGTCCGGTGAATTTTTCGAAATTTCAAACGCGCAACGGTTAACTTCAATCCCGCCGCGAGGGCCGTGTAACTATTAAGTCTATAAAATGTTGCTCAAGCGTATGTCAGAATCTCATTAAACTTTGTAGCTACTTCTGCTTGTATCGCTTCTACGCAAATTGCGTTTCTAACGTAAGTAGCTAATTGAAGTAATGGCGCGCCTAAGGACTGAATTTCATGTCCAGGGATGCCCCCCTGCCACCGGTAGCCGTAATCGCGTGTAATCTAAATGGTATTACCGGGAACTTACATGCGCGCGCGCGCTGTTTCTTTTACGGGGGATAATCGTCGTTATCCGGCCACGCTGGACCACCGCCGTCGACGTTTTTGAGACCTCGCGATCGTACGGTGAGAAAGACGAGGAGGAGAAGGAGGCGGCGCGCGGTACAAAGGGAGAAGTGAGCTGTGTACATATATCGCGGTTTTTGCGCCGATTGGCGGAACAAAATGAAAAGCGATTATCGGTCAGGATGTTGCGAAAATAATGTCCTGATGAGGAAGAGCCCGGCCGACGGTTGTTTTCCGGGAGGAAAAAAAGACTGAGACAGCGGTCGAGGCGGAAGAAGATGAGAGGAAGAGGAGGAGGAGGAGAATGGCGAAAATGAAGACAAAGAAGAAGAGGAAGAGAGAAGGTTGTCGAGATGGTCGTCTGCGGTTGTGTCGGTCACTACCGAACCAAAGTAGAAGCCAAAGCGAGAGAGAGAGAGAGAGAGAGAGAGAGAAAGTGGAGAGCGCGAGGGGAGTTTGAGCAAGAGGAGAATAGAAAGGGCACGAGAGGTTGCAGAGAGTTCTCCAAAAAGAGAAAGAGAAAAAGGAAAGAAGGAGGGAAGGAAGGAAGGAAGGAAGGAAGGAAGGAAGGAAGGAAGGAAAGAAGAAAGGAAGGAAGGAAGGAAGGAAGAAGGATAGCAGAGAGAAGAGCTTCTCCGGGGAGCAATAAACCCACCGAGAGATGACACTAAAACTTTTACACGGATACCGACCTTTATTTCCATATTGCTCGCAGCCTCAAAAAGGAACATGCCCGCTTTATTTCTTTCCTATGTCTCCCTTCGGCCAGCCCTCCGCTCTTTTCTCATTCTCGCCCCAATTTTCCCTCCCAGTGCTGCTCCTTCCTCCTTCCTCCTCGTCGATGCTCGTCGGGCTCTTGCGCGGTCCGCAACGCCGCTGCCAGTTTTCGGCAATTTCGGCTCGACGCCTCCCTCCCTCCCGCCCGCCCGCCCCCTTTTAAACTCCGTAGAATTCCGCGGGCTTACGTCTGCGTAATTAAAACTCTCGGCTCGTGCCCGCGCTACTCTAACTAACGACGTCCGCCCCACCGCTGCTGCCTACTACTACGGCGGGATACTTCACTTTTACGCGCGCGCACACTTCTTTCCTAATGGGCAGTTTTTGGCAAACGCTCGCGAGCGGAGAAATTTTCGCGAGGATACGCGACATACACGTAACGAGCCAAGCAGTGCCGCTACTCGGCCGTCGCTCGCCGGCTGCGCCGCGCGGCGGGGGTAAGACCTGATGTTGTTACGTGCGAAGCGTGTATAATGCGGCCCGCTCGAGTGTTCTCGCTCGCGTGAAGCGGCGCGTTATAGCACGCATTGCGCCCACTTATGCATGAACCGCGCGCGGTATACGTGATTGCGTTGAAACGGTTCCGTTTTACGTGTCGAAACCGCCACTTTTCCCTCATTACCGGGTATCCTTAAAATTTACAGGATGCTCCCTCTCGCGTATGTCTGCCGTGTTATTTTCTACACACGCCGGACTCCACATACACGCTCGATATTTCGGGTTACCTGTTTCGCGCCTGCACGCCCTCCCTCCCTCCCTCCTGTTAACGGAAATCCGTCTCTCCCGGCGCTGCTCCCTCTTCGCGCGTGATTCTTTCATGCAGAACGATCAATGCGCGACTGTGCGGTGTGCGATGTCGCACACCCGAGGTGGTCGAAAATCTTCTTCTGGGTCAGTTGTGGTTTCTGTATATTTAATTTCTCTGTCTCTTTCCTTCATTTTTTCTTCATGAGGTAATCACGAAATTGCGATGAGCGAACTTCCGCCGAGCAAATAACGGGCACGGACGAGCACAGGTAATCGAGTAAGGAGGACTTCGACGGCTTTCATACGGCTCATTCGGTTAACTTTTTAACGGAGTTAATTTTTTAATAAAGCCGCTCCGCGCGCGCGTGCGCGCGCACGACGTTACCCCCCGTTACCCGGATGTCTCTCCAGAGTTATAGTTAATTTAGTCTGTCCCGGCCTCTCTCCTTTATTCCCTTATACCGCGGATAAATTAACGGCGATAAACTTTTTACCGAGTTATCTGGGATTATCATCAAAAATCGACGGGGAAGAGGTATTGTTTGGCGAAGTTAATCTCGGAGGAGTTCAGATCGGGTGAAAGGGTTGTTTATTAAAATCCTCATACAGCCCTTCGACGAAGAGTTTGCTAATGGACTTTATCGCGAAGTTATCCCGCTCTGATAATTCCCGTACCTTGCGTATTCGACGTTCTTTCTGGTATTCTTTTTTTTTTCAACTTTGCTTTTTTCATAAAATTTTCAAGCCCCGTGTTCGTCGAATTTTATCGCTCTTAATGCCGCACTGCCCTAATTAAAGATCTTTTGTAAATACACGATCCCTTTCTTTCGCCATCCTCGTTTTATTTCAATCGGGCAACCGCCTGCTATAGATCACGAATATTACCAGCCAGGAAGGTCGGAGAAAAAACATGGAGTAGTGTATCTGACGTCAGAATCCAGCTCCCTTGCTTTGTGTCGAACTCTCTTAATTACGAGAATATACTTGTCCCTCATTCATAATCTGCAAAAATATACTGCTTCGCGTTGTTACTGCAGCACCGTGTTACTTTTTTGCTCTTCTCGCGATAAAATGTCGACGTGGGGAGGAAGATAGACGCGGGGTGATTCCGCGTCGCGCACGATACTGAAAACACCTACGCGATATCCGGATTGCCGCGCGACTCGCGATCGCACGCACGAGACAAGAGCCAAAAAGAAAAAAAAAAAAGGAGAAAAAGAAATGAGAAAAAGAAAAAGAGCGCGAGGCGGAAAGCCGGGCGAACCGGGCGCGTTGCGAAGCCACATTGCGGGGGAAATAAGAAAAGCACGAAAAGCGCACCGGCGCGGGCGCGGGCGCGGCGAGACGCGAGTGTATCGCGCCGCGATCACGCATAAGAAATTCACGACGCAGCACGTCGCGGTACGCATTGACGATTATGATGATATCACGCTGGTCTGGCTGCTTTGCATAATAAGAGATATCGAGTTGGCGAGAAAGACAGCCCGAAGAGCAGGACGCGAAAGGACGGGACGTGAACGGCGACGGGGTGGATACGTGAAACGGGGAGACCGACGGCGGTAAGGGGGATCGCGGGGAAGGGGGTGCCGGTGGGTGCGGGAGGAGGCGCGAGGAGGTGGCGGCGGCGGCCTTGGTGATAGCGCATACATGCAAATTTCGTCCTGCGAGAATTCCGATGTGGGAGGCAGGATTGTATCGGATAAGGACACCGGCTCCCAGGGCCAATATCAGTCGGAGCGACGAGAAGAGGGTTGCCGATGATCCGGGCAATGCACGGGGGAATCGCGGGAAGAAAATAAACGAGCCCAGGCGAGGCGAGGCGAGGCGTGGCAGGCGGGTGGGTGGTTTGGTTGGTTGGTTTAATCGCGATACGACGCGCCATCCTTATCACGATCGGCACGCACGATAACGAAAATTGTCGTTCGCGCGAGACGTGAGTGTTTGCGCGAAAACGCGGGGAGATATATTCTCGCGGAAGCGCCATTAGACGATTCTCCATGTGGGGGGGAGGGGGAGAGAAGGAGGAGGAGGAGGAGGGCAAAGAGAAGGATAAAGCGCCCGTTCGCCGGGAGATCGAGCGGATTTAATCGCGCCACGAGGCCGCACGGAACGCTCCGGAAGAAGCAGCCGGCGACCCCCTGGCGGTTAACCCGCGCGGGAGATCTCGTCCCTCCCTTCCCCGCCGTGAGAGTAAGTTCATTAGCAAAAAAAAGCGAAGACGAAGATCTCGTTACAGAATCGGGGGAAGGATGTGTCTTAAGGCGGCACTACTCACCTCTTCGTGCTCCTTGTGGATTCGCTCCTTCTTGCGCAGCGCCTCTTGAACTTTCAGCTGAAAAATGCAAGGCGATGGGAGCGTTCTTAAGTTTCGTTTGAAAAGGTTTTATCGGCGGTGAAGCGACTTTTTCTCGCGAGCGATTCTCGCGAGTACGTTCTGACTGAATTCGTAGATCACGATGGATTGCGCGAGGCCCGGAGAGTGGCTTTTACACGCGCGGCTACTGACGCAAATTGTTTTCTCTGTTCGCTATCAATCTTTATTATGCGAGAGAGAGAGAGAGAGAGAGAGAGATTATTTCTTTTCAATTATATAAACGTACACAGAGTGATTTTAAACGTCGTTACGCTGCAGCGCAATATCGTTCTTATTAATACGAGATTGAACGATATCGCAGAAAATACACAAAAAAGAAATATATAAGAAAAACGCAATTTACCCTCTGTATTGTTTCCTCGAAACTGTTTGCTTGGCCGCCGTTCATCTGTAGGTATCGCAATCGGTCGTAATCTCGGGGATCCACCATCGAACGAAGTATCGTGTGTCCCATGTCGGGCCCAAGACCCAAACCGCTTTGCAAAACACTGTCAGGTGTGTCCACCTGCAAGCAACAGAGAGAGAGAGAGAGAGAGAGCGTGAGTCTAATTATTATTGTGAGCGACAGATTGGAAATCGACTGCAAAAATATGAAAGTTACACGGCGTGAAGAAGTTCCCTCGCCGTATTATTTTCAAGGGAAGCGTAGACGCTATTGAACATGTCCTGCTTTAGTTTGATAAAAATAGACGAGACGCGTAGGGATTAAGCGTGCATATTTCAGTTGTGCAAAATTCCCGAGTCCTTCCGGCTAGACATCTCTGCTCGAGAAATATCAAAATCGCACTTCGCGCCAACTGTCTTTCTTCGTGAAAACTTTTCGCTCGGTTTCACGTCTCTCCCGTTTCGCGATGGAACGTCACGCTATTAATTCCCCCGGAATTCAATTTATGCGCGAATCTCGCTAAGTAATAGGGTTCGTTGTCGGGATGCTCGGTACATTGATTACACGTGTATCGTTACAGAGATCTCCGTAATAATTTATTACGATCGTCGTGGAAATCCGCTTGCGCGCGCGCGCGCATACATTTTTGTATGAAGGTGTAGCGCTCCCCTTTCATAGAGCATCTCCCATTCTATAGAATGTCGAGCTCCTTTAAAGCAGCCGCCATTTATCCTCGCGACGTTCCTACCGCTAATGGGGCTCGTGCATAAGATATTCAGGACGCGGCAAGGGTCGCCATGGAGATCGTCAATTTTCTCGTTCTTCGCTACCGCGGGGAGAAGGGAGTACGAGAGAAAGAGCAGGAGGGGGATACACGCCGTCGTGTATTTTGAGTGAGGGGAAAAAAAGAAGAAATATACACAGCGTGCGATTCTAATCGCGGCGGGCGAGACGCGGGCGGCGCCGCGGCGTTGCGAGCGCCGCGTTAGTCGAATGATTAAGATGGAAGCCTCAGAGTTTCGTTCCCGCGGTAACTTCAGACAAAGCCTCCGAAGTATTTACAAAGGAGCGCCTCTTCTACGAGATTAGCCTGAGTAGAGAAATTCATCTCCCTTGGCTCACCATTTTAAGCGCGTCGTCGTCTTCGTCTTCGTCCTCGTTCTTTTCCTTGTTTCCGCCGTCGTTGTCGTCGTCGTCTTACGGCAAACTGACGCGGGGAATAGTTCACGGCGAAAATTATCACGTTGATATCCCGTGAATGCGGCTCGCAGAGATTATTGCATTATCTCTCTCTCTCTCTCTCTCTCTCTCTCTCTCTCTCTCTTTTTCCGAGACATCGTCGCGCGTCCAAGTGTTCCGGAGAGATGACGGGGAAAATTCGGCCGCGGGATATCGATTGTGTCGGCGCGCCGAAGATGACGGGGCGGTGTTACATTTCCGATAATTAAGTGCGCTCCGAGCTTGTAAATCGTGACGAAGTGCCGTCCGTAAATTGCATGCAATAACAATGGGTTCTCACTTTATTCGCCGGTCGAATTATTTGCCGACGGGGATCCGCAATCTTCTCGATCGTTTCGCGCCGCCCTGGCCTCGAGCTTGCAAAACGATACGTGCAAAACTGCTTCCATAAAATTCCTCAATTTATCGAAGAAAATAAGTCTCGTAAAGAGACATTAATATGCTAATAAATATAGGCGAGAACGCGCATAAACTAGTGAGAGCGCTCCGCGCGTCTCGCTGGCAATTAACGAGTTATTATCGATCTTTACAGATAATGTCTAATAAAGTCGCGTCGGTTGTGGCGCCGTAAATAATACGAGAGAGTGACAAACGAAGCATTGTGTGTTACGCAGAACCAGATCATCTGCAATAAAACCGAATGTACGGTTCTGTCAGAGAATACTTTCCGCGTTTGTTGCCTGCGCAAATTTATTAAACCACTTCTGCGGTTTCCGTTTGAAACAGCAGCGGCAATTTTTCTCGACTTATTAACACAGTAAAGCCGCAAACTCGCGTACGTCACGTCGGGGACGATGCTTCGGCACGTAATCGAAACGCGACCAAACGCGCTCTCGCCGACGCTTTCCCAGCTTTCGAGAAACTCGTTTCGAAAATCTCGCGTCTCGAATGTCACGGAACCTGCCAGGTATCATTTTGCGCGCACGCGCTCTCCGAAACTTATGCCCCCGGTGGTGCTTGCTCGGAGCTTGTTTGCGAACAAATATCGATCCGTCGCGCGCGCGGTAATCTCGATGCCTAAGGAAGAAAAAAGTGGCGCTTCTGCAAACAGCGCTACGGGACGATTACCTTGCGGTGCGCGATTTAATTAAACCACGTGGTATTTATGTTAAACGGATTAGAACCGTTTGTTTGCGCTCGCAAAGACTGAGCTTCCTCTCTCCACGGTAGCTCGCGACCGTAGGCATCCACTAAGCCTGAATAATACCTAGAGACAAGGCTGAGAATTTACGTCGTTCTCTGTTTACCGGGCGCGCGATGTTGACTTTTTCTCCGTTGGTCCTACGGGCGGCGGACGGGTGAGACAGCGAGAATAACCGAAGAAATCCCCGAACGCTTGTAGGCCGCGGGAGAGGGAGAGAGAGAGAGAGAGAGAGAGAGAGAGAGAGAGAGAGAGAGAGAGAGAGAGAGAGAGAGAGAGAGAGAGAGAGAGAGAGAGAGAGAGAGAGAGATAGAGAGCGAGAGCGACCGAGAGAGATCCTGCATCCTCAAACTCGTATCCTTTATCCGCGAATCCAGCGGCCGCTCTATGTAATCTTCAGATGCGACGACGTTATCGCGTATTATTGTTCCCAACTGGCGCGACATGGAAGCGCGTTATCTCTTTATCTGCGCGGTTATCTGTGCGCCGCGAGATGCTACGTCACTACTCGCGGCCTGACAAGATTCCTCCGCCTCGCCTCTCGCGCTCTCCTTCGCCGCTACGCTTCGCCCTCCTCCTAGTCGCTCGCTATTGCTAATGCAATGTTCGAGTTCAAGTGCGGCGGATTCCCAAGCTAATCACGTACAAGTCCGTATGCGCGAGAAATCGGTTCCGCGCGATGAGTCTGAGCAGAGATCCGCGATCCACGCGCGCCGTTCGCTCTCCCCCTGCCTCGCGCGAGAGAGAGAGCGCCGGAGAGAGCTCCGCCGCGCCGCGTATATACAGATACAAATAGCGGTCGCTGCGAGAAACAATCCCGCTCGTTTATCAGGCGCGATATATCGACGCGTCTCGTCTGCGTGAAATAAATGTCGCAATCGCGAGAGGGTTCGCGTACGCAACGATTTCCATCGGTTAGCCACGGCGAGAGCCGTGCGAGCGCGTGCTGCATGCACCCCCCTGGGCCCCGCGCGTCTTGCGAGATGACGCGTTCGTTTCCGTCCGGCGCGCGAAAGAGAGATTAAGCGATCGCGTTCTCCTTCGCCGTTACGTAAGTCACAAATAAAGCCGCCGTACCTCGCTACGCCGCGCGCTCCGGAATAAATGACGGTGCACAGCGCGGTGCGCGCGTATCACGTATGGGCGAAGAGGAAAGGGGTGGTGGTGGTGGTTTCAGGCGTTGGTTCGGTCAGCAGCGCAGAAGGGTGGGTCCGCGAGGGGATGGAGACCGGTGTCGTGTGTGTGATCGAAGGTGGACGAGCGGTTGGCGAACGAGGAGGAGGTGAACCTCCGTCGTGTCCGTCGGTCGGTCGTCTCGAGGGTCTGCGTCGGGGGGTGGAGGAGGGTGGAAAAAGCGGAGAGCGAGATGAAGGAGAGAGAGAGAGAGAGAGAGCGACGTATATATTTTTTAAGGTTAAGCGGTTAACTGGCCACCTGGGGCGGGCTCTCCTTACAGGATCGGTTTATAGCCGCTCTCAGTCAGCCGTGCGCCGTGTGTGCCGCCTACTGGTTAATTTATCCCGGCATTGTTATTGCTCCGGCGCGGCCGGCGAGAGGCGCAATGTGCGCGCGCGCGCGCGCTCGCTCGTTCGCTCGGGCCGAGATAGATACGCCGCTACGTGGCGTCGTGACAAACGCAATTAAGCATCTCACGACTTCCTGCACCGGGAAACCTGTAATCTGCTCATCTAGCTGACTCTCTTCGGGAAGGGTAGAGAGAGAGAGAGAGAGAGAGAGGGGGGGACAGGGGGGAGGACTTCTCCCGGAACGCCCCGCGGCACGGGATCGCCGTAATGGGCACGCCGGCGGGCCGCGGAATGCGACTTCGAGAGACCTTCATCGTGTCGTCTCTCTCTTTCTCTCTCTCTCTCTCTCTCTCTCTCTCTCTCTCTCTCTCTCTCTCCCTCTCTCGAAGGCAGCGGGCTCCGTTCGGGATGATGGTGCGCGTCTCCCCTGTGTTCGACCCTTATCGGAGGCCGAACTGATTTACGAAGGTGGCGGCGGGTCGACTAACGGCTCGCGCCGGCGGTGTTAAACTACCGCGATTTGTTTCCCGGTAATAACGCCGAGATCGTGGGGAAACGCGATAGTCGCGAGAGAGACTCGCCGAGACGCGAGAGAGCCCGCGGAAATCCGCGGCGAATTCACACCCGCTGCCGCCTCGGCTACAAAGAGACGGGCGCGCGCGCGATTGAAATTCCGTTCTCGAAAACGCGTTCTCCCTCTCTCTCTCTCTCTCTCTCTCTCTCGCTTCTCGCCGCTCGCTTTCCGACGTCGCGTCGGCTCGGGCGTTAGTCGGCGAGAGAGCTGAGGAGGAAACTGTGTCAAAGGAAATTGACTCCGCTGCCGAAACTTCTTATCGCGCGGCTCTACGTACAGGGCAGATACGGCGCGGAGATCTGTTAATAGCGTCATAGCGCGCGCTGGGCGCGATTATGTGTCTTGCGATCTCGCGAATCCGGTAATACGCGGCGCCTGTGGTGATCCGCCTTGGTTGGTCCACTCGCGGGATTATCTCCTTGCTCTCAGCGACCAAATGAGCCGGGGGCAAATCGCTCTATTTTTCAATATCCCGCTGATTATTGTAGATACGGGACCAACCGGGTACACGTATGACCGCGCGCGTTAACCTTTAGAGAACCGGCATTTTTCCTTCAAAATTTGCAATTTTTTTCGCGGAAAATTTATATATACCGGGTGTTTCGGACCACCCGGGTCACCCGATTTTTTCGTTAACGCG